ACTTGCTAGGTATTTCCAACAGGAGTGACTGTAATTTWWAAAAAAAAWWTTTTTATCTTATTTATTCTAATTTGTTATGACAATAGAATGCAACTCAATTCATATTACACAAATAGAGCACAATTTTTCATGTCTCTGGTTGAACACAAAGTACAGTCACACCATTGGTGTTTTCATATATGTACTTAGGGTAATGATGTCTGTCTCATTTCACCATCTTTCCAAACCCCAGTGACTGGAATTTGTAGAATGCTTTTTATTTTCTTCTTGGTGTTTATTGAGGTGATTATATAATTTTTCTCCTTAACTCTCTAATAAGGTCAATTATATTATTTCCTAATGTTAAGCCGATGTTGTAATCCTGGAGTAAACCTAACATAGTCATGACCTTTATATACATTTCCAGACTTGTCATGATCATTTTGCTTAGGACTTTGCATCTTTGTTCATGAGTGAAGTAAGCTCATAATTTTCCTTTTTCAGACTGTCTGCATTATTTGGTTATTCAAGATATAAGCTCTGATGTAGGCCCTCTGTTTTTATTTTCAGGGAGTTTGTGTAATGTTGGAATTTTCTACCCTTGAACATTTAGTAGAAAATCCCAATAAAGTCACCTGAGCCTCCAGTTTTCTTTGTAGGGGACATTTTGACTATCCATTTAAYTTATTTTAGTTATTAGACTATTTAGCGTTTCTATTTTTTCACTGGTTATTTTGGAAAGTTGTAATTTTTTCTAGGAATTTGTCTGTTTCCCTGGGATTTTCTGATTACTTGGAATGACATCTGTAATGCCTTGTTGTCTTTCTAACCTCTGCTGAATCCAAACTGCCTCCCCTTTTCCATTCTCCATTTGGTTCCTGATGCTGTCTCCTTTCCTCCTGATGTGCTTGCTGGAGATGAACTGGTCTAATTTCCTCTTCACTGGACCAACTTCATGCTGTCAGTATTCTGTCCTTGTTTTCCCTTTTAGTAATTTATACTCTGATATTTGTCATTGTCTTCTACTTTTTAAAGGATTTTGTTGGTGGTGTTATTTCTTTCCTAACACCTTGCAGTAACTGCTTAGCCTATTAATTTGCAGCTCTTATTAAGAGCACACAAAGCTGTAGAAGTCCTCTGTGCYATGGTGCCTGCAGCCCATGTGTCTGGATAGATAATATTCTTCTCTACTGGGTCCAGTTATCTTCTAATTGTCATTGTGGTTTTTCCTTAGACCCTTGGATTATTTAGAAAGCAATGTTTGTTTGTTTGTTTTAAATTTTAGTAAATATGAGGACTTGAAGACTTCTAACTTAATTGTATTATCATTAAAAAAGACAGTGTGTAAAATATTCATCTTTTAAAATTTGCTGAGATTTGTTTCATAACCTGGAGTGTTCTTTTTTCTTCCTCACTATGTGCTTGAGAAGCATGTATGCTCCCTGTATTTGGTTTCCACTTGTGTCCATTTGATCAGGTTTGCCAAGTGTTGTTTAGTTCTATGACCTTTAGTTSGTGATATTTACCAATTATGAAAAATATGTATCAAAATCCCCCACTGTGAGGGCAATCTGTCCATTCCTCTCCAGAGTTCTTTTAGTTTTGCTTTATTATTTATTCTTAAAGTCAATTTCTTCTAAGATATGTAGCTATATCACTTTGTGTTGTTAATTCTGGCTTAGTTTATCTTGTATTCTGTGATATTGCTTTCTGCATCCTTCTGTTACAGGTGTGAGTTTTCTGGTAAACAGCATATTTCTGTGTTTTTTGTTTATTTACAGACTGATAGTCTTTGCCCTTTAACTGTCCAAAATTATAGCCACCAGCTACAGGTAGCTATTGAGCACTTGAAATGGGCTGTAAGGACAAAATGTAGACCAGATTTTGAAAACTATGTGCAAAAAAGAAAAAAAAAATGTATATGAAGGATGTGTGTATAAAACTATATAAGGTAYCTTATTTTGTATTGATTGTATGTTGAAATAGCATTTTGGACATATTGGGGTGAATCCTTCCATCTGTTTCCTCAAGATTTTACAATGCAGCTACTGAGCCCCTCTGCCAATTGCCTGTCCCGTGGGACCCTACTGCTCCAAATCTTTTCCCTGGTCATGGTGGCTTTTGTGTGTGGATCCTTGCTGCCTTTTTTAGAGGAAGCTTTAGAATTTTTCTTTGTGGGGAGTTATTTTTGTGGGTATGTTGGTAATGAACTTTCAGTTTAAGTGTACTTATATATGGATCTATTTCTATATGAAAAAATCTTTATTCTATATTCTATCCCTGTTTGAAAGACAGAATTCTGGTCTATTACTTTCTCTTAGCCTTGTGAGACTGTCGCTTTGCAGAAGTCAGCTGTTGATCTTGCAGGTAATCTGTCTTTTTTCTCTGCCTGCTTTTAATAAGGCTTTGTCTTTGAGAATTGGCAGTTTCACTGCAGTACCTTTACGTGTGGACTTATGTTTCTTTCTCCTGCTTCAATCCGTGATATTTTCATCAGTTCAAGGAAATTAGCAATGTTCTCTCTTTGAATATTGTCTTGCCCCTTTCTCTCCAATCTTTTATTCGTGAGGTTTTCATCTTTGCCTCTATAATCTCTCTTTATATTTTCAGCTCTATCCCCAGGCTGAGGTCTGAGCATCACTACCAGGAGTATTCTTCCCCACACAGCTTGGAGCCAAGGACAGGGCAGGCAGTGCCCTGAGTGGCAGTTTGGGCTTGGGTTGTAAGTTTAGTCTGCTGGGAATGTTGCCAGTTGGGTGGTGGGGTGTCTCCAGCCAGCTGACCCCCACACACACCTGACCCTAGACCTGCCACACTCCTTCCCTAATGGGAGCATGCCACTCAGACCTGGGCAGGAGCTGGATGTCCTCCATTCTAATTTACTGTAGAAACTGGGGCTTTCTTAGTTTCTGGCCTCTGTTTGTTTTCCTTACTTTATTTGTAAGTCATCTATACTTTGATTTTTTTTTTCCTTTTTCTTATTTTTATACTATACCCAGCATTTTTATTTTTAGCTGTCCCAGTCTGGAAGGAGTTTCTCTGTTTCTCTGCACATCTAGCCAGCCATATGCCAGAAAGAAGACTTGATGCTGCTTTTACATCTGTTAAGATGATCATATTGTCTTTGCCATTACTGTTAACTTTGTGAATTATATTACCATATTTTCTAGTCTCATCTTATCCTTGATAAACCTGATTTGCTCATAAAGTGTTATCTCTTTCTATTTTGAAAATACATTATRGGATTTGATTTGTAATTCTTTAATTTAGAATCTTTCATATGTGTTCATAAATGAGATTATTTTATACATTTTTTCATATACATTAGTTTGTATAATCAAAATTATAATAGCTTCATAAAAGGAGTTAACAGATATTTTCCTCTCAGCTTTTTCTTTTTTTCTTTTTTTTTAACCCAAAGGCACTTTACCACTAAGCCAGCCTTTTTATTTTGAGACTCAGTCTCACTAAATTGCTGAGACAGTATTTGAACTTGTGATCCTGCCCCAGCCTCCCAAGTTGCTGAGATTACAGGCAAGCACCACCTTGCATGGCTTTCTCAGCTTTTTGAAGATWTTCCATTATCTCTGATGTCCTGATTATTGTAGTAAATCTGCTTTCAGGCTGAATGTTATTGTTTTCTCCTTAGTGCTTTTTAAGATTTTTTTCTTTGTTTTTGCTGTTATTTCATTTCACTTGAATGTTGTCTGTTTATTTATTTGTGTTTATTTTCTACTTTGGAAYCCATAGTTTTATGAACCCTTTAAACTATGGGTTCATAATGCCTTCAAGTTTGGAAAATTCTCAGCCATTCTTTCTTTACCTACTTCCATTTGCCCCTTTCTTTGTTCTCTACTTCTGGAATTTCTACCACCGGTTGTTAGAACTTCTTATTCTATCCTTCATGGCTCTTAACTTCTCTTTCGTATTTTCTATTTCTTTATCTCCAGTGCTTTGCTCTAGGTTATGTCCCCAGATCCATTTTCCAATTCATGAATTTTCTCTTCAGCTGTGTTCAGACTGMTAAGCCATTTATTGAGTTTCTAATTTCCACAACTGCTTTTGTCATTTATAGAATTTATTTCACTCTTTTTCAAATCTATCTGTTTAAAAAGAATTTACTCTCCTTCCTTAGAGATTCTGCTCCTTCTTTTATTTCTTTGAATATTTTAGACATACTTATGTTACTATATCATTCAACCTATCCTTTTTTTTATGGTTCTTGAGAGCAAAATCTGCCAGTGACTCCCATGACTRTTTGGCTCCTCTTCTGGTCTATAAGTTTTAATTTTTCCTCTAGTTTTAGTGTGTAGGGGACCCCTGTAGTCTGAGTTGTAGGGGTAATCCCATGGGGCAGGTTTGCTCTTGCCTGTGCTGGGTTCTCCTGGGTCTCCATGACTCTCAGCACCTTTTCAGTGAGCTTCTCAGCATAGGGCACCTGCACTGTGTGGGTAGAATGAATTCTGTGTAGATGCTGAACTCCAGTGTCTTAYGGGTCACTTCCCTCGCACACCCCTGGACAGGTGGACAGCTTCCTAGTAACTCCCTTTAGTGGTTAGAGTTTTCTTAGGCCCCATCTCACTTAGGACAGAGCCTTATAGATCCTGGCTGCCTGCAGCAGGTCAGCACCACATGGACATGAAAGCCCAGCCCCTAAGGCCTGTGTTCTATGAAAGCAACACTGTGGGGTCATTTGTCTTCTACAGCAACTCTTGACTGAACTCTTACTCATATATCTGAACTCTTTCTTTTGAGTCATTTAACCATGTATATGAGGGTTAAAGTTGGGGRGAAGAGGAATTTGAGGTTCAGTTTTATCTGTCACTCCTGTGTTTTAAGTGAAAGCAGGACTTCCCAGAGCAGCTCATGGACTAGCTCCAGTCCAAAGTCCCTACTTGCTATTRCCTTCCTTCCCATCAGACTCTTTGCTGTTGAACCTGTGTAAGGCCAATGTGTCCATTTCCTTGGCTGCATATTTATGAGCTCAGGGCCAAGGGACTCACACACTCTCCCTTTCCTAGGCTCTGGGCCCCCTGTTCCTGCCCCTGACCTTCTGATGCAGATCAAGCAGGAAGGYGAGCTCCAGCTGCAGGAGCCACAGGCACTGGGCGTGGAGGCCTGGGCATCCGGGCAGCCAGATATTGGGGAGGAGCCCTGGGGCCTCAGCCAACTGGACTCTGGGACAGGAGACATCTCCACAGACGCTACCTCAGGTGAGTGGCTAAGACAGAGCAGTAGACACAGGAATGAGTTGTAGAAACTGAGGGCAAGAACTGGGGGAGGTTCCTGAGAGGCTGTGGGGAGCTATGGTCTCTCAGAACTTCTGGTCTGACTAGTATAGAAGTTTGCCTTCCTTGAGGAAGGGTCTGGACTGAAGCATATCTCACAGGCCCTCTGGGGGTTGGTGACACTGTTCCTGAGTGTTCTTTGGCCTAGCAGATTATCTAGGCCAACACATGCCTGCTTTTCCTGTCCCCAGCCTCAGGCAGTGACATCAACAGCTGCCTCTTGGAAAAGGGCTCCTTCTCAGTGACATCTGAGCTTCCCCATGCTCTGACATCAGAGAGGCTGGGTTGTCATGATCATTCAGAAAAGTCCTTGTGGGGCTCTTGGGGTTTAGCTGCCCTCCCCTCCACAGTTTTCTTCTGCTCCCCGTACCCTTCCTGCCCCTGACCATGGCTCTGGTCTCTTCATTGCAGGCGTCCATTCCAACTTTCCAACCACTATCCCACCCACTTCCTGGCAAGCAGATCTCCCTCCCCACCATCCTTCATCGGCATGCTCAGACGGGACACTGAAGCTCAACACAGCAGCCTCCACAGAAGGTATGGGGGGTGGCGAGAGAGGAGGCGGGTGCCTCCACTGGGAGCCCTGTTTATTGGTGAGGTACCCTGACCTTTGGGTGTCTGTGATCTCATGACTATTTTAATTCTGAATTCTGTTTTTTATCTCCTCCAAATGCTTAGGCTTGAGCAGTCTTTCCTGACAGTATCCATGTTTTAGACCATTCTCTTTCATGTGGTGTTAAGCATTCTATTCTAATGTTCTGATTTCTTGAAGGACAGACCTCCTCTCCAGACTCACATGGCTCCTCTGGCATAGAAGCAAACAAAACAAAGCCAAAACCACTTCTTAGGTATTGGCCTTCCAAAGGCCAGAATTGGGAGCATCACTTACCAAACTTATGTATTCGKTTTTTTCTTCTGTTATGCTACCTCAAGTTATAATTTCTGTCATCTTAGCATCCACCAAAATATGTTAAAAGCCAAGGTCCCTGGTATAAAACCTTGGGATGTGAAATTACAGTACCTTTATATACATTCCTACTCATTTTCTACTCATTCTCTAATATTCTCATCATTAACTGGGTGACTGCTTCTTGGATGTGTTATCTTGCTTAATCCCCTGACATCTGACATTCACAGAGGAGCTGCTGGTTGGAAACATGCCTGATGTCCACAGCTGGTACAAGCAGAGCCCAGTCTCAGATTTATCTAAACCTGTGCCTATGCCTTTGCCCCTTGGGCAGTAGCCTCCTTTGGTCAGAATTCCTTTTCTTAGGAAAATTCATGATTAGCCTTAACAGCCAAAATGAAAACAAAAGCTGGGGGGCAGATCTGGGGGTTGCCTTGCTGTGGCAAAGGCACTAGGACACAGTGTCCTCTGGGTCATGAGATAGCCTCACCACCATGGTGGAGTGCTCTGCAGAGTCTGGTCCTGAGGCTTGGCCAGGAGGGCCCAGAGTAGCGTCCCAAGGACTAAATAGCTGCTGTGCTTCTAAATGAAAGCATCAGATCCTTAATTCCTCAAGAGTAAGGGCCAAGATGATATGTGCCTTTCTGTCTTTCTCAGCAGATGTAAAAATTGTGATCAAAACAGAAGTCCAAGAGGAGGAGGTGGTGGCCACACCTGTGCATCCTACCGACTTGGAGGCCCATGGGACTCTATTTGCACCAGGCCAAGCCACAAGGTTTTTCCCTAGTCCTGTCCAAGAAGGAGCCTGGGAAAGCCAGGGTAGTTCCTTCCCTGGCCAGGACCCCGTGTTGGGGCTGCGTGAGCCGGCCAGGCCTGAGAGGGACATGGGAGAGCTCAGCCCTGCAGTGGCCCAGGAGGAGACCCCTGCGGGGGACTGGCTGTTTGGTGGGGTCCGGTGGGGCTGGAATTTCCGGTGTAAACCTCCGGTGGGCCTGAACCCAAGGACCRTGCCAGAGGGGCTGCCTTTCTCCTCCCCAGACAATGGAGAGGCCGTCCTGGATCCCAGCCAGGCCCCGAGACCCTTCAACGAGCCCTGTAAATACCCTGGCCGGACGAAAGGCTTCGGCCACAAACCCGGCCTGAAGAAGCACCCTGCAGCGCCCCCGGGAGGCCGGCCCTTCACCTGCGCCACCTGCGGGAAGAGCTTCCAGCTGCAGGTGAGCCTGAGCGCGCACCAGCGCAGCTGCGGCCTGCCAGATGGCGCGGGCACGGCCACCAGCACCGGCACGGGTGCGGGCACGGCCACCTCAGGGGGCGGCAGCGCACGGGACGGCAGCGCCCTGCGGTGCGGGGAGTGCGGCCGCTGCTTCACGCGCCCCGCGCACCTCATCCGCCACCGCATGCTGCACACGGGCGAGCGGCCCTTCCCCTGCACCGAGTGCGAGAAGCGCTTCACGGAGCGCTCCAAGCTCATCGACCACTACCGAACGCACACAGGCGTGCGGCCCTTCACCTGCACCGTCTGCGGCAAGAGCTTCATCCGCAAGGACCACCTCCGCAAGCACCAGCGCAACCACGCCGCGGGGGCCAAGGCGCCGGCCCGCGGGCAGCCGCTCCCGCCCCTGCCCACCGGGCCCCCCGACCCCTTCAAGAGCCCCGCAGCCAAAGGACCCTTGGCTTCCACAGACCTCGTGACCGACTGGACTTGTGGCCTAAGCGTCCTAGGACCCACTGATGGTGGCGACCTGTGAACACCCCCACTACCATAGCCCCCGTGGGCTAAAATGTACAAAGTCCTGAGTGCAGACAGCAGGGTGGCGTTGAAAGCCTAGAGGCAGAAAGGGAGACTGGCAGAACCAAATTCCCACATTGCTGAACTGATCACTGGAACAAGAGGAACGCTCCACCTCTAGACACAGTAGGATTCTGATTGTGAAACTGCATACCGTAGTAGAATTTCAAGTAATTTAACTGCAAACCCGGTTTTTGTTCTTGTTTCTTTTTTAATTCTTGAGGAAAAAGCTGGAAAACAGTAGCAGCATCAGTTGAGATCCTGTCGTGCACTTTTGTTTTTCAGGGTGTGTGTCCGCCATGTCTCCTGAGTCTGATGGCAGTGCTGGGAGGGTGGTGGGTGGGGTCCTGGAGGTGAAGAGGGCCCTGGATACCCCTGGCCCCAGGACTTCTAGGGATTGGTCTCCAGACAGCACAGTCTGTGGGAGTTGACTCACCAGTCTGCCTGGGCAGCAGGTCTGGGCCTGGGCAAAGAAGGGTACAGGACCTGGAACCCCAGCTTCCACTCAGCAGGAAGGACCAGACCAGGAGAGTCAAGGCAGTGGTCAGCTTGCCTGCCTATTGAAAAGGCCCCTAAGCACTGGCCTGGCTTTTCCCTATTCTGCACCATGCCATCCGCAGTACTGTCCTAGAGCACTTGACAACATCCCCCAGGGACTCCTGGGCCCCATCAAGGAGAGCCATGTGGAGCTGTCAGGTCTGGAGGAGGTGAAGAGTGAAGAGCCAAGGCTGAGTGTGGAGCCCTCACATCTGGTTATGCAGAGCCAGGCCTGGAGCCAGCGGCCCAGACCCCAGATGCTTCTGGTGTGCTGCCCCTCCTATAGTGTCTCATTTCCAGAGTACTTGCACATCACATCTCACTTGATCATACCTGACTTTGGGAAGTAGCAGGACAGGTACTTGTTTCTTTATAGAAATGAGATGAAAAGGGCTCAAAGGGGGCATATCTCRGCCCCTCGCCATTGAATGCACAATGTGTGCCAGGAGCCAGGAAGAGCCACAGCTGGGACACAGTTCCTCCTGAAGCCTTAGTTTAAGGGAGAAAAGGTTTTGGGTTTTGCCCTCTGAAAAGACTTGTCCCACACCCAGTGAGTCAGATCCTTAGGCCTCAGAGGAGGAGTATCTGGCTCCGMAGCCTTCGGGAACCTGGCCTCTTTGGTGTGTGTGCTCATTCACACACTAGGGCTGCTCAGGAGGCAACCTGGGAGGCTGGTAACATGTAAGTGGCTTGCTCAGTCCCACCTCAAAAGTCTTCAAAGTGGAATTAGAAATGGGCCCAGATTTCTTGTCCACCGTAGTGCTATCCCCACCACACACATATCCATTCCTGGTTTTTGAAGCAGCCTTTGGTCCTCTTGCCCAAAAGGGTTCCTGCCTCTCTTTGCAAGGAAAGGCCATGGCATCCATTCATTCACTCTGTCCTRCATTTTATTAGGAATAGACTAGTTAAGAAAAATGTTTCTATGTACTGTATATTTTGTACCTGTTTACACTTCTAATATTGATATAACTGATATTTTGAAAAATAATTGAACAGAAAACATCCTGTTAAAATAAAACCTAACCAGCACCAAGGCAGTTTGGTGGGTTCCATTCTTAGACCCGTGTCTTTGTTGCTAACCACGTCCGCCAAGGGGCTGTCTGTCCACTTCCTCAGCACCYTCCTTGTGCGCTTAGTCACCTTGAGCCCCCAAGAGGTAACTATCTTTSAGAACTAGGAATGGGAGGTCCGCGAGAAATTTGATCCCTTGGAGATAAACTGGCATTGGGAGGACAATCAAATCACACTGCATCAGAAAATAAACATGGCTTATGCAATTTAGTTTAATTTGACATTATACATGCAAATAAGTCTAGGAGGAAAGATGCAGAATATCAAAGAAATAGATGTTGGCTATTTTGTCCTCTTCTTTTCTTGGCTGGGTGGGAGGCAAAGGACAAGTAGTGTGCCTATGGTATAATCGTAGTCTCAGAATAAARTCCCTCTAAGTGGCACTTAACTCAGGCTCCTACCGACCAGACTTGTTAACATCTTGTCTCCTGTCTTTGGTCTTTTTCATTTTGGTCATAGTTTTTTGTTTTGTTTGTATAGTGGTAGTCGGACAGCATGCCTTTATTGTTTAGTTTTTATGTGGTGCTAAGGATTGAACCCAGTGTTTCACACATGCCAGGCAAGCTACAGCCTCAGCCCCATAGTTGTGTGTKTKTTTTTTTTTTTTTAAGAAAAAAAAAAAGTTTGATAGATAACAGAGGGTTGCTGAGACAAACTTTTCTTTCATTTTTGTGCAAGAGTCAGATGCAAACATGATGGCCCTTCCAGCCATGGTGGAGCGGGGTTATACCAGCCGGACCCCTCTCCTGGCCCAACTCCCTTGTTGGACATGCCCTGTGCTTGGGCCGGCTGGGGCTTGCCCTCCAAGTCTGCCTTGCTCCTCACACCCTCACCACTCTCCAGGTGCAGGAATCAATGTCATGCCCAGAAGCCCTGGTCTTGGTTCCCAAATGGAATCCTCAGTCTTGGGTTTGGGTTCACCTCACCACATCAGAACTTCAGACATCCAGGAGGAGRTGGGAGATCAGGCCTTTCCAGGAGGGACTGTACTGCCCCACCATGGGGACCGCCAGCCCAGAGCACAGCCATTCTTCCTGGGTCCATCCGCCCCTGCTGTTAAACTGCCACAGTCACCCAAATGTCTTGTGGTTCCAGAGGTCAGAAGTCCAACTGAGTCTTTTGGAGCTAAAAATAGAGGTGTCAGTAAAGCTGTATTCCTGCTAGAGTCTCCATGGGAGAATCTGCATCCTCATGTTTTCMAACTTTTCAAAGCCACCTGCATCCCTTAGCTCATGGCCCCTTCCTCCAAAGGGAACCACAACAACTTCTGCTTGCCTTGCCTCATCCCCTTTTTCTGAYTTTGCCTCCCTCTCATAAAGACCTTTTGATTACATTGATCCTGCCAAAATAATCTCTCCCTCTCAAGATCCTAGTTTTTCCTGGGGGAGAGGGGGATGCTAAGCAAACACTGAGCCACATCCCTGGCCTAACATAACCACATCTGCAAACTCCATTCTGCTATGTGAGGTAACACATTCACAGGCTCTGGGGATTCAGTGACATCTGTGGGGACTCCCAGTCATTCCTTGTCTCAGCAACCCTCTGTTATCTATCAAAAGATACTTATCTGCTGCCTGCCTTCTCTTAACATCTACCTTCAGTTTCTTACAATTTTGTTCTCTTATTCCTGATGCCTCCAAAGATGGCCCCATCCCTTCTCATTCTTCCCATTGTTAGGTGACAGCACTTCAYCATTGTCACATTCACAGATGGATTGAGACAAGACGGTCAAGCCACACTCCACCCCTTTCAATAGCATCAAGATCTCTAAAGATCGTCCTGGCCACTTTCAGCTATGATTCTTCTCCATCCTCCGTTGGACATTCTTCCACATCACTGAAGGTTTGCGGGAGGCCTTGGAAAATCCTCAAGTCTATTGYTCTATCCCCTTGATCCCCCAATTCATCTTTCACACTGCCACAGGGTAACCTTTCTAACTAGGAAATCACATCACTATTGCTCTCTGATTTAAAGGCCTCCAAGAAATCTCYGTCACCTGCTGGTTAAGATCCAAACTTCAGCACAGTACATCCAACCCCTCATAGGGGCTCCTTCCTGGTTCTTCCTTTCCACTCTCCATGTGCATCTCACTCTACACAATTGCAACCACCAGCTCTCCCCTGAGCACCATGCTGTTCCCTGCCTTTGCATGTGCTGTTCCCACTGCAGACAATGTCCACCCTACCCTTAACCCTTGCCCAACTGGCACAGTCCACTTCCCACAGGTCTTAGTTCAAAGCACCACCCAGGTCCCTTGATCTCTGCACATGAAACTGACACCTCCCCTGCTTTTCCCACTCCCCTGAGTCCTACTCAGACTCCAACTGTTGACTTGCCAGACCCTCCTTTACTTTGCATATGTCTGTAAAAGTAATCTGTTTAAACATGAGGCACAGGGCTTAAAATTCATAAGGAGACCTTTATTCATTGGCAGATATATGGTGGAGTCCCTGATTTTGTTTTAATTGTCAAATTTCTTTTAACCCAGAGTATTAAATGGTTTATACCTAACTATTTACCAACATTGAAAGCACATTTTAGACATTAACTATATACACTTAAATAATTTCTGTTTCATAAAAATTTTAGCCAAAGTCCGTCGMAGTGGTGAACGCCTGTAATCTCAGCAACTCGAGAGGCTGAGACAGAAGGATGGATGGCAAATTCAAAGCCAGCCTCAGCAATTTAGCGAGGCACTAAGCAACGCAGTGAAACCCTGTCTCTAAATAAAATACAAAATAGGGTTCGGGATGTGGCTCAGTAGTTGAGTGCCCCTGAGTTCAATCCCAGTACCCCCCCCAAAAAAAATGTAATAAATACAAAATCTGTGGATGATATGACTCAAACACTCCTGATACAAACATCTGTAAATTATGGATAGGATTTACTAAGCAAATTAAATACAAAAGTAAAAACAAAGGGAAAACCTATGTGCCCAAAATGAAGACAAACTGTAGGCCCACGTTGTAAATATAAGTAACTACTGTGCCCAACTGGGGTGGGGTAAGAAGGGCATACAGGCCATGGGCACCTAAGATAAAGCCCTGGATGTCCTCTTGGTCAGCAAATGCAGGTTCAGAAGCACACATCCCAATGCCAAAAAGAAAATTTGAAGTTGGGTCCTCCGGGAAGCAGATGCTGAGACAGTCTGAAGTGCAAATGTGTCGGGAATGATGTTGTGGAAGATAACAAGAGGAGGAAGCAGGATCGCAGGCCAAATCTCCAGCCAYAATATCTGTGAAAGGAAAGAGGCAAGGAAGCAGCCACCTGGCAAAGCTGCAGCCACCAGACGAAATTCTAGGGCAAATACTGCCCATGGGCGGGGATTCCTATGTTGGGCATCAATGACCAAGCCTCGGGCCTCTAGCCACTCAGTCCTTGGCTAGCGCTGCACAAAAAGAGCATGAAAACTGAAGCATTTCCCAGACTGTGGCCACCTGCACTCTGCAGCCAAATACCCAATGCCTGGATTAAGATCCAATCGGTGTGACTGCACAGCTGCCACAGATGACAAAAGCCTGCCTGTCTGAGATTGGGMACCAGGCACTGGGCACTGGCCGTGGTGGGGGCCATGTCTTCCTTGAGAACTCAAGGCCACAGCTAGTACCTCAGGTTTGGGTTCAAATTTACATTATCCACAGGGCTGATAAATTGGCATAAAAATTGTATAGAAGCCAATAATAGCACTTGAGGTTTCCGGCTGAAGCAAACTCAAAACCAGGAGGAACCATCCCACAATCCAGACCACAAGCCCTGCTCCACACAAACTCACAATCACACACCACACAACCACAGGAAACAACCCACTATTAATGAAAAGACAAATGCAGGATTACAAATCCAAGAACTCAAACTCATGTAAAGCTACTCCCAAAGAGAACAGACAGAACATGAATATGTTTATACTGTATAAATCTAACAAGAGGCATGAAGTGGTAGAAGCAACATGGAAAAAGCACAGTTAGTTGAAATGACCAAACCTTAAGAAAAGTCAAGATACTGTGAAAAAGAGAGTGCCATTTGAAAAAGAACCAGTGAAAATCCCAGAAATAAAAGGAAAGTCTCCAGGTGCAGTGGCACATGCCTATAATCGAAGCAGCTCAGGAGGCTGAGGCAGGAGGATCAAGAATTCAAAGCCAGCCTCAGCAACTTAGTGAGACCCTATCTCTAAATAAAATGTTTTTTAAAAGGGCTGGGGATGTGTCTCAGTGGTACAGTGCCCCTGGGTTCAATCCCCAGTACCAAAAAAAAAAAAAAAAGAGAGTAACATTACTGAAAAAAAAAAAAAAACGGTTAAAAAACAAAAAAAAAAACTTACTGGCCTGGTTAAACAACATAACCAGATACAGTTGAAAAATAATTATGGCTGTCCATTGGTACCCACTGGGAAGCCCAACGAACCCCCATACCAAACCCTCAGATGATTAAGTGCCTTATATAAAACAACACAGTATTTACATACAAATTGTGCACATCCTCCTGTGTACTTGAAATCGTCTTGATTGCTTATAATGTATAATACAAAGTAAATACTATACAAATAGTTGTTATGGTATATTTTTAAAGGAACAATGACAAGGAAAACAGTTTGTATATATTCAGTACAGATGCAATTTTCTTCAAATATTTTATATCCAAATCCACAAATACAGAGGTCTGATTGTAATTAAATCAAAGATAGATGAAAAAAGTACCCAGAATGAAGTACAGAGAAAGAAAACAATGGGTGGGAACCTGATATGTTATAATCATAGACCAGGAACACTTACCATAAGTCTATCAAATCAGATGTTCTTAACTAGAAAGTGATTAGGAAATTAGGAGAAAAGAAATGTTTTTAAAAGAATGACTAACAAGTTTCAAGAATGGATAAAAGATATAAATCCTCAAACTCAAAATGCAAATGTCCTGAATAAGATAAATAAAAGTAAATCTACACATAAAAATATGTGAAACTATAGT